CAAACGAGTAACCTGACCACTAAGTGGCTGACTTTCAAATGAGCTTTTGGAGCATATTCCCAGTATAACTTAGGATCAGTATCTACCTCCTTTATTATGTTTTATTTTGAATGTTTGACGACCCAAATTATAAGTCATTGCCAAATTACTTTGCAAGTATCCTTTGTCTTGATTGTGTTATTGTATATAGATGGTGCTCAAAATTATTAAAATTAATTTAGATGTTTTCAATTTATGAAGAGATGGTGAGTATTTTCTAAGTCACAATACAAAAGTGATATGTGATTTGATTATTGGATGCCTTATAATTTTTTCCACCTGTTTTTTAATTGAGGTAAAAACACATACAAGGTTTATCATCTTAACAATTATTACGTGTACAGTTCAGTAGTGTTAAGTATACTTACGTGTTAGTGGAACAGATTTTCAGAACTTTTTAAAAACGAACTTTATTTTTTAGAGCAGTTTTAGGTTCATAACAAAATTGAGTGGATGGTACAGAGATTTCCCATATACTCCTTGCCTTCACACATGCATAGCCTCCCCAAATACCAACATTCCCCATGGGAGTGCTACATTTGATACAACTGATGACCCTACACTGACACATCATTATCACTCAGAGTCCCTTAGGGGTCACTCTTGGTATTGTACACTCCATCGATTTGGACAAATGTATAATGACATGTACCGTTATAGAATTATACAGAATATTTTCAGGGCTCTAAAAATCGTCTGTCCTCTGCCTGTTCATCTCTCCCTGCTCTGTAATCCCTCACAACCACTGATCTTTTAGCTGTCTCCATAGTTTTGCCTTTTCCAGAATGTCATATATTTGGAATCATAAATTTGCAACCTTTTCAGATTGATTTCTTTCCCTTAGTAATAAGCAGGTAAGTTTCCCCTATGTCTTTTCATACCTTGGTAGCTCATTTGTTCTCAGCACTGAATAATATTCCATCATCTAGATGTCCCACAGCTCGTTTATCCATTCCCATAGTGAAGAACATCTTGGTTGCTTCCAAGTTTTGGCAATTATGAATTGCTATAAACATTCACGTGCAGGGGTTTGTGTGGATATAAGTTCTTGACTCCTTTGAGTAAGTACCAAGGAGCATGATTGTTGAATGATACGGTAAGAGTATGCTTAGTTTTGGAGAAACCATCAAACTATTAATATCTTCCAAAATGGCTGTACCATTTTGCATTCCCACCAGTAATGAGAGTTCCTATTGCTCCACATCCTCACTAGCATTTAGTGTTGTCAGTGTTCGGGATTTTGGCCATTCTAATAGGTGTGTAGTGTTATTGTTGTTTTAATTTGCATTCCCTGATGACATATGATGTATGGAGCATGCATTTATATGCTTATCTGCCATCTATATATCTTCTTTGGTGAAGTGTCTGTTAAGGTCTTTGGCCCATTTTT